AAAAAAAAAAAAAAAAAAAAAAAAAAAAGAAAAGAAAGAAAGAAAAGAAAATATGGAAGCAGTATTCAATACCAGACTTCCAGCCTGCCAAAAGCAAACCCAGGGGCAATGAGGTGGAACAATTTGAGTCACCCATCTGGACTCTCTGAAGTGGTAACAGCAAAAGTAACAAAGCAGATGAATGAGGCTCTAGAAAAATCAAATCAGATTCACCCATCTGGACTCTCTGAAGTGGTAACAGCAAAAGTAACAAAGCAGATGAATGAGGCTCTAGAAAAAAATCAAATCAGAAATAATTTTTCAGACAGCTACAGACATGGTGACCAGAGGAAGAATACATACAATTAGTGACTCTATAGCAGATATAGCAAACAAAACAAAAACAAAAACCCAAAAAGCAGAGGAGCTTAGAAAAATGATGGAAACCATGAACACCCAACACAGGACAGAAATACAATCCAGGAGATTAAAAATTCCACTGAAAGTATACAAAACAGAATGAGTCAATGTAAGGACAGGATGTCATATACAGAAGATAGGATTGTGGTTAGCAATCATGAAAAGAAAGATTTCTTAAAAATAGCAAGGGACCACAAAAAATAAATCCAATAACTACTAGATGATGCAAAGAGGAGTACCATGACATTGATCAGAGTCAATGAAGCAGCAGAAAATAGCACAAATGGCATAAAAATCTGTCCACAGAAGTAAGAGCACAAAACTTTGCAAGCATGGAAAAAGAATTTGACATACAGATGAGAGGCATACAGAACTCTACACAGTCATGATTTTTAAAAATCTACACTCAGGCATATAATAATCAAGATTCCAGAAATTCAACACAATAATAGAATATTGAAAACTCTCAGAGAAAATAAAACAAATCACCTATAAAGGAAAATAAAACAAATCACCTATATAAAGAATTACAGTAGACTTCTCAACAGAAACTCTCAGTCAGAGCTTTGAGTGAAATATTACAAACCCTCAAAGAAAACAAATTTTAACCCAGACTGATGTAGCCTGCAAAACTTTCCTTCAAAATTGAATAAAACACTTCCATGAAAAAGAACACCTGGATTCATGGCCACCAAATCAGCATGCCAAAAATGCTTTGAAGGATACTCTAGAAAGAGATAATGAGGACTTCAACTCCATGAACCCCAACAGAATGAATCTACTAGGCAAGGCAAGAAATTATACAGAAAATGAAAGAAGGAAGCCAACAGCAGAAAATAACATGACAGAGATAAGACAGTACATATCAGTTATAACCATCAGTGTAAATAGCCTCAATTCACCAATCAAAAGAAACAGACTGGCAGAAAGGATCAAGAAGCACAATTCAACAATATGCTGCCTACAAGAAACACATTTAATTCAAAAAGAAATTCATAGACTGAAAGTCAAAGGATGGAAAACAATATTCCATGTGAGATGAATCCAGAAAAAAAGCAGTGGTAGCTACTCAATTTTCAGACAAAATGGATTCCAAGCTAAGACTGATTAAGAGAGACAAAGTCAGTATTTCTTTGCAAAGGGAACAATCCAAGGAGAAGAGATAACAATCAGAAATATATATGCACCAAATACTGGCACACCTAACTATATAAAACAAATATTAACTGACATGAAAAATCAGATAAGCACAGACACAATTGTG